CTGCGACGATAAAGTCGACACTACGGACATGCCTGAACCCGACAATAATGCCAACAAAACATTCAAGGCTGCCGACTTTGATTTAGATGCTAAAATTAGAGCCCTGCCTTCACTTAGTCTAGAGAAGTTCCAGCAGAAGAAACGTGAAAACAAACGTAAGAAGAAGACCGTCAACTTGAAACCAAAAGCACTGGAGACATCGCAGATAGTCAACTCAGTTCCTAGGTCCATGATGGAGGATAGGCGGGAGACGGTGGAGCACTGGCGGGACACCGTCATCGGCAGCCAGAAGCGCAAGCCGCGCAAGATCAGCATCACGCGGCTGGAGATCAATAGCATGGTGTCGAGCGTGGACCTGGAGGCGCAGCAGACCAGCCCGCAGATGAAGATCGCGACGGAGGCGCCCGCGCCCGCGCTGTGCCGCCAGTCGCCGCTGGCCGGGGACCTGCTGGCGCTGGCCACGCTGGCTGAGGTCGCCTCCAACACCTCCAAGCTGGACGACTCCGCCATGCACTACATGACCGCCAAAGCAAGCGACTCCAACGCTTCCATGGTATGAGATACCGACACAACTAGCCTTAATATATTATTCCAAATATTATTTACTTTGTAATCAGATAATATTTATATATAGATCTAATTTTACATTTTACGCATAAAAATTAATATTATTGTACACTTTTAACTGTAGTTTTTATAACGTAGCGATAGAAATATTTATATTGAAAATAGAAAAAAAGAAAGTATATGTATACCTTACGTTAGTTTAAAACGTCGTTTAGGCTGCTAAATACTGCTTTGTTTAGGACTAGAAAAAGTAAGAGTGATAGTTGTATGTCCAGACGAATAACAACAAAGCATAATGATTTATATTATAGTAAGAACAGATACAAATACATTACAATTATGATATCTTAAGGTGTTATCGTCGTGTCGCGGGATTCGTCGCCGCCATTTCATCACATCAACGGTTATAAAATGCCAAACAAATAAGTCATTTTAAGATAATTGTAAACCTCATTATGTGTAAACTTAGGTTATTTGAATCGCCTTAATATTTTAGAGATTTAAATGAAGATACTAAGACACCACATGCATAGACTGCATTGCATTTTTAAGGTGACTTATTTCTCGTTTTATTGCTGACATGCAATAATTTATCATTTATATTTAATATTTATATTATACATTAGTGGCTGTAGTCACGTGTTTTTTTGTAAAAAGCGAATTTATCACAACAACTATGGCAACTGGCGGATGGAAGTAGGATGTTAACGTAAGGCTGGGAATATTGTGTGTTGCCTTAAAATTAAAACATGTATACAATGAGATGTAACAGTGGTACGTTACTCATACTCATTTCGACCTGTCGAGTATGGGATTACATGATCGAATGTAGATGACTCAATGTACAACATAATACGCTAATTGTGAACGCCTTATACTGCTGTATTCGCAATTTATATTACGCAATATGTGTAAACAGCTAACTTGCTTAGTACCATTCAAATTAACAGATGAATACAGAAGAATTCATTGAATAATATCACTGTTAACGTGTCGCGAAATTTCAGTAATTAATTTCCAGCCTAAGATTGGGACTTTTGTTAAAATTCTAGTAAAAACCTACTAAGTAGTACCCGTGCAATCCTTTGTACATATTGTTATTGAATGTTTATTTAATTATTTTAGTCATACTCTAACAAAGATCCCAATCTATAAATTATTTTAAACGAAAGATTTTTATGAATCTTTTTGAAAGTTTTTATACTTTCACGAGGTATAGAAACAAATGCGGTTTGAGGAAATCTATTGTAAGGAAACGTGATGCTATTTATAATGATGTGGAGCAATTGGCGAAAGAGGTAGAGATTGTAATTTTTATAGTTGCCAGATGAGGCCTCAAAATACCGGCCGTATCGCGCGAGTCAAACTCGCAAAACTTTTCTTTGTGATAAAAATCTTTGACTAGTGCTGTTAGTTTTAACTTAAAAATATATCACCATTGTTTCATAATTATTATTTATCGAATTTCATGAAAAAAGAAAAAACATTTACTCATAAAAAAATCGAAAAAAAAAAAATATCATTCGATTGAACGTACACTGATTAGATTAATCTTGTCCCTATTAGGTACCTGAAGTTATCGAAAATTCATGAATTTCATGTGAGAAAAATAAGAAAAAAAGAAACTAAAAAAATATAAGATCATTTTGAAACCATTTTTAAGTTATAAAATAAATGTCAATATTATATTAATGTAGTAGTTTACGTGTTTGAAGAACAGTGTTTCTCAAATTTTTGTTCTTGTTTATTTTTGTAATGGATTTTAAGGGGTTTCTGTGATTTTATTCTATCTCCTATGTTAAGGTTGCCGGCGTGAAGATTTCGTTTGCAGGTCTAGTCTAGATTAGGGTTTATAATAAAAAAATGATCAAGTACTAAATTCGAAAAGTGCACTTATATTGTTTATAAAGTTACAAACGATGACACAAGCCATAATGTGACATGCTCATCCAAAGACCAAATGTATTTAGAATAGAAAAGCTAGCATGTAGATATTGTATATGTAAAATATAGGTGATATATATTATGTATAATAAATATTTTAACAACTTGTCAATCTTGTGGCATTCCAAAATGTCAAAATTATCATGTTACTCTATGAAATGTATTATTGCATTTTGTTTTTTCAAACAGTTTTATTTTCACATAGATTTTAAACCTATAATATTTGTTGATTTTTATGTAAAGTTTAATGGATTGTTACGTTTTATTATGAAGTGGTGAGCTTTCGACGGTTCCTATACGAGATTTTTAATGATGAGCTTTACAGGGCTTTACTATATCAATCAAAATATATAATTAATACTACATAAATAACAGATTACTTATGAAAAAATATATATTTTGCCTTGTCGAGATAGAGCCTTATTTTATAAAGAAAAATATCTAGTATTAAGGCTAATTGAGAAGGGGCCATTATCGGAAAAGGGAATTTAGAAATAACACAATTTTTAAATTATATTTATTAAACACAGAATATATTTATGGGAATGGTGAGATTATAATTGAAATCTCTAAATTGAAACCTGTAGGATCCGATATGAATAAATATGGTGCTGGAAGATCTGTATTACTTTATTTTAAGAACCGTAGTCCTCAGCACGTGCGAGGACGGTTAGTCAAAGTAGGTATTGTAATGAATTATTATCGTTATTTTTAAGATAATCGCAATCACTTTGTGCTATATAATATATATTTATATAAATTATCCTGAACAAACAGTACATTGTTGTAGCGCAAATTGATTGTTGATGATTTTTTTGTATCGGTACGGGAAAATTTAATGTAGTTTGAGAAACACTGGTCTGTTTTAATATAAGTTAGGGCATAATATGTCGGTACCCAAAGTGTTTACCTGTTCGGTTCCAAAGTATATTGTTGAATGTTTTGTTACAAACCGCGGTTCAATCTATATCCTTTTATTGTAGTAATAAAGTTTATTCATATTAACAATGCTTTTGTTTTATTGTTCGGCAAATGTTCCCTATAGATAATTAAAAACAATGCATAGGTATCGATGCACTGTTGTATAAATTATTTTGAACTGAAACACGCAATAGCATTAATTATGAATAATGGTCGTGTCGATGCTGATGTGGAAGTAGGATTACAGGATTAGGATTACAGTTTGACATTTTTTTAATTTATTTTTTAAGGGGGGAAAATCATCGAATTTCTTCTCCCGCCTGGGTGAGGCGGGAGGGAGTATCAAACTCTTACTGACTAGAAACCACCCCGTTACTTCTCGTGCACTTCGAGCCGGAGTCCCGGTAACGCCTCTTTGAGACGCGCGCGGAACGAGACGCGCCGTACGCTCGGGTCTGGTTCTGGTCGGGTCGAGACGAGTCAGCCATGCTCGCCGTCCGCAGGCCCGCGCTTACGGTGGCTGGAGAGCGTCTCGCGATCCCCGACGCCCGGAGCACCCGAAGTGTCCTTCGCGATGGCTGGGTTGCGAGCAGGCAGCGCTTCGCTGCCTCAGGGTTGCTCAAAGATTTCAATTTATTAGTGATTAGCACGCAATGCGATCGTAAATCGGATAAAGACGGAAAAAATGTCTGAATTCTATGAGATTAACAATTTGTTAGAGATTGTTCAAGAAATACCAATCTACAATGATTTAATATAAGCTTCCAGCGTGACTTGAAACTGGTCGAGTTAAATCTTCATGTAAGTACTTATGGCATAAAACAATAAAAAATTAGGGAGATGTCATAATATGTTCCGTAACTTCCAACCAATTGTCCATGTAGATAGGTAGCTACATTGTATTTGATATCACCTACACGGTTGGCGCAGTGGCTGGACTGTAGTCTGTAGTCCAACGTATCAAGAGCTGGATTCCCGCACAGGACAATTTGTCTGATGCACAAATTGATCCTGGTCAAGGTAAGTGTGGTTTGTATGCAACATGTGAGTAAGAAGGAAAATATTGTATTAACCAAAAGACGTCGACTGCTACATCTGGGCCTTCCGCAACGACTGCCAGATCAGGTTTGAAGAAATTCGCATAAACGGCTTCCTGCGATCTTTTATTATTGCATTGCATTACTTTAATTTTTTGTATGTACTTAGGTAAGTATAGAAAAAAAAGTAAGTATAGTAGGTGTTTAAAACAAAGATATGAAGTTTTTAAAGACTAGGTTTTCAGGGAATACCCACGGTATGACGGTACACGAATATTATACTCGTCTAAAATAATGAAATACACGTGTAAGTAAAAGTGTCAAATAAAATTTCTCTATATAAATAATGTGTCGATTCAAAAGAAATATTGACTATTTGATATTTAGTAAGAGTATTGAATTATATAAATATTATTATATTATTTCCCTCAAACATTTTTAGTATTATTTAATTTTTTATTCTTAATGACTAACCGGAAAATGAAAGAACAAAACGCGTCACATTCGCATAGCATTACCGGCTGTCAAAATAATTTCAACTGTCAAAAATTGTGAAGATGGGAATTCGTTTCTTTCGTTACGACTCGAATTATCGAAATTATTAAACAATTTTAACTGCAGTGCGTTATAAAATAATCCCGTCATCATTTTATGCTCACGTGTGTGTGTTGTTACAAATATTCTTTCAAATCTGGATGAAGAAACCATGATTGCTGCGTCTGAGCCTCTGGTGTGTTATTGTTATTGTTTTTCGAATATTAATCTATAAAACAATATTGTAATTCCTTATTTGTATCAGGCTAGTCTACGTTTTTCTTTTTTAATACCCATTATCATTCAAATAAGAACAGAAACCACTGATTTCTACTTGAATTGGACATAGTTATGAAACGCAAAAAAAAGTAATTTCCCTTCTTGTATTTCGTCAAAAAGAATCACTATAACTGTTTTTAACGTTGTTACAATAATATAGTTACGTCATAACCAATCCAGTAACAATTCATAAAGTTTAAAGTAACCAAAGAGCAAAATATCCAAACTTCAATTGCAATTCAACATCAACTTCCCAGGAGTTTGTGCCTCACGGCAGAACTGTGCTGACTAGGCACCCGGGTCAGATCTACAGCAAACACAATACGTCAGCGTCAGAGAACTCCTTGTTATACAAGCTCACCAACTTTGCCATCAAGGATGAGAGTCTACTGGAGGCACGGGAGACTGAGGAACAGGAGTGGTGGTGCATCCGTGAGGTCTACTATAAGACTTGTAATGGTTTGTACCTTATTAATACCATGTACCTATGTAGCTAGCAAATGGCAACAAAACTAAGTTTTATTTATACCAAGCATTCGATCTGATAACCATAGTAATATTTATTTATCATAAGTGCTAATTGAATTTGAATGATTGATTATGCTCATCTTCTGTAGTAATTAGAAATTTTGTCAGACCTATCATTGATCTTTATGGTATAAAACAATAATTCCTAGTTATGACAATAATTACTACTTGTAAAAATTTATAATACAAGAATCACTTAAATATTCTCAATTACAATAAATAATTCTGAAGTGTTATTTGATCAAAAAGCCTTAATTTTTACAACAGATTTAGAAGATGAACCGCAACAACCAAAAGATTCAAAGTACGAGTTCAACTCCGAATCCTTTCGGGCACCGAGTCGTCTCAAAAATGACTTTAATATCTCTATCAAGTCGGAACTGATGAGTGGTATGAAGAAGATGGAAGGAGATGGTTTGAACTCTGCCGGTCCATCGCGTGGTGGTAGCGCTAACAGTTCTAGTAACATGTCCAAGAAATTCAACCTGACTTCTGGTTCCGGAAGCAAGAATTCCAAAACTGGGTTAAATCCAAAGACTGATAGCTCTTATGAAGAGGAGTTGTATGTTAAAGGGTGTACTGCTGTTTGGTCTAAAGGTAAGGGAATTGTGTTTTTTGAAGTAGACTGGTAGTTTCGTTGCTAAAGAATTTATCGTTGACTAGTTGTCAAGATCAAATGATTACAGAAAAGTGATACTATATTTTAGTTATGCAGGGATACATATTGTTAAGCATTTGTGATTATTAAATTCAATAAGGTTTCTTTTCAACATAACATAACATCACGCCTTTTATCCCCGAAGGGGTAGGCAGAGGTGCACATTATGCCACTGTAAAATGTAACACCCACTTTTCACTATTTATGTTATGAGTCCCATGTAACAGGGGGTGAGCCTATTGCTATATACCGGGCACAATTCCACACTACATACTACTACTGAGAGTTTTTAAAAACCCAGTAACACTTTGCCTGACCCGCCTGACCCGGGAATAGAACCCTAGACTCCTTGCCCCGCAGTCGCACTTGCGACCACTCGGCCAACGAGGTAATCTTTTCTTTTCAAACCATGAAGAAATCCAATCCAATAGAAGCTGAGTCTGTTATATTAATGTGTTTTATTTTATAGGTCTCATCTCCATGCCAGCTACAAAACTCACAGATCCAGAACACAGAGAAACAATAGCTTGCTACACCATAGAGAATCCCATCAAACATGCAGCTTTCTGCAATTTCCATGTTGATATCAAGAACACAATGCTTATAGATGCTCTAAATACTCAGATTGGAGATGTGAAGAAAAACATTAAGATTGAAGATACCACAGAACATATACAAACTAAAACCATGCCCGCCATTTTGTTAATAGATAGCAAATGTATGAAAGTTTACGCTAATGAAGGACGAGAATACATCACTAGTATACCATTTCAAGTAAAAAAAGTTTGGCCTATGAAGTATGGAGTTTTATTAGAAAAGGAGGCTACACCTGTGACTCAGAACTCTGTGCTACCAACCTCCTTTATAAAATTAAATGAATCTCAGAATAGTACTTTTTCTAAGTCGAAATCGAACTTCCCGTTCAACATGAGTTCTAAGTTTCGACCGGATTCTGTGTCGGCGTTCGAACAAGATGTTGCATTGCCAACTTGCTTCTCATTAACGCATCCATTGGATGAAGTAACTCCTATACTGATGAAGTCACCTTCACAAGGACTTCAATACTACAATGACGGAGATTTACAAATCATCTTTGTTAGTTCAAATCCGAGTATTATTTTACTGTACGACTGGAAACTAGGCACTCATTCACTTTGGAAGATCAGAAAAACTGTTAGAGACGAATGTCTATCAATGTGTCCGAATATGAATTCTACTACAACAGTGTTTAGTCAATCTTGTGACTTTATGGGAAGTCCGATGCAGAGCCAGAGGAACGTGACCAGTTGGGCAACTGGTCTGGGTAGTCCGTACCAGTCGAAGAAGTTTCCGAGTACTCCAACTATGTCCAGATCTAGAATCAACAGTCCGATGGCCAACGTGTTCCATCAGCAAGGGTTGTCACCTCATGCTTCTATAGGACAAGCCTCTTACACTTCAATGATGGCAAACAATGGTCCGCAGAATCCTCCATCATTACCATTGTACCCTGATATCTGCTTGGATCATATATGGACGGACACACAAGTAATTAGGAGAGATCCTATCGAGGCTGCAAGTGATATGAAGACGTTCTTACATACAGATTTAGTTGGCCATGATTATTTGTGTTTTATAGTGAAAGTGGGAGGTGTGAGTAGATTGCAAATTGTACGATTGCAACGATCTCATTCATTGGGACAAACGTCTAAGACGAATCTCATGGTTGGAGCGGTTTCCACCGTGTTGGCTAAAGATGCTGTGGTGTTGGAACATCTCAATATGATTGCATTGATTGATGAGGCTGGGAACATTATCTTGCAGTCTGGGAATCATGTTGTTGGGAAAGTATGTAATTTTATTTTACTACCTATTTTGTTTCTTTTTTAACAGAGTCAGTATGTTTGTCAAATATTCTAATACAGTTTTACAATTCTAGCATAATATCCTTTACTGCTAACCTGCCAACTGCCTACTATACAAAGTTTCTTTATCAAAATAGATAGGTCTATCCTAATAACTGTTTCATATATTATTATTATTCGTAGTTCGATTCTCAAGTCGACCATAATTTTTTTTTGTACCAATAGTGTCAAGAATAGCACACGCCCCACCTGATGGTAAATGGTTACCGTGGTCTATGAACACTAGCAACACTTGGGGCATTACATGCTCCTTGCTGACACTTTATAATACTATTTACCTACTCCTTTCTTGAAGAACTTCATAATGTAGCCCACCGGGAAAACCTGCAGGGAGTTCATTCCACAATCGAAGAAATATATATTTATATTATCTGAAAAGGAATTATCTCCTCCTCCGAGGATCAGTTACTTATTCATTTACGATAACTCCTGTCTTCCCTCAGGTCCACGTTGGCGGTGTGCTAGCCCGTCTAATAGACTCTCCCTACACCAAACGAGCTACCTTCCAGTCTCCCTTCCCTCGTCGCAGCAGTTTACTGCCCAGCCGGTGTAATGAAACATCCAACTTTGATGATTCAGCGCTCCATCTACTATCACCAGTGCCTCATACTTCCACTGCAAGACACGAGCAAAAGGAAAGCTTAGGTTTGTATCATTAGAGATCATTTTAAATTAGGTCACTAACTGCCACCTTACGTTTGGAAACGTAACGTAACGGGTACGTTATTAAGTTTCGTGCGACTATCAACTCTGTGTGTAAACAGCATAATTATATTCCAAATATTTTCGTATTAGAACATAGATCACTAAAAATAAGATTACGATTTCTAAAGACAACGCCTGAACATCTGTCTACAACAATCAATATTATGTAATATCACGCCTTTTATCTCTGTAGGGGTAGGCAGAGGTACACATTATGTCACTGTACAATGTAACACCCACTTTTCAATATTTATGTTATGAGTCCCATGTAATAGGGGGTGAGCCTATTGCCATATACCGGGCACAATTCCAGACTCCGTGCTACTACTGATAATGTTTTAAAAAACCCAGTAATACTTTGCCGGTTCGATTCCCGCCTGGGAATCGAACCGGCCGAACCGAACCGAACTATATTAATATTACTACACTATATTGATTGTTACTATAATCAATATTACTACACTATAAATAAGAGACATAATCGTTTAATCATATTTCTGTGTCTCATATTTCCAGGACTATGTGGTCTCTGTGACGCAGCCGGTTCTCGCATGACGTTGCAGTTCGAAGCCGGGCCGATGTACAGGATATCTTTACCTCCATTAACTTGTTCTACTTTAGTAACTCGGTGTTATACTGCTTTAAAAGCTATTTTGCCTAAAGATATTACTATGCAGGTGAGATATTGAATAATTAATTATTTCAATAAAATGTTTATATTAAATGTTTGGTTGGGATATTTAGATGGTACCAACTTACATACATATTTGGCCCTTCTTTAATATATCGGCAATCTGGTCACTATATGTCCGTGGTACCAACTTAATATGAACAATAGAAACAAATGTTACCTGTGTGACTAAAGCCCTCATACATATTTATGTAATTTTAGTCACCCTGAACAAAAATATTTTATTCAGATTTGTTATTAATCTGTTTTGTCAACTTGTATTAAATTTGTGCACATTTATTTAATTAAAACAACAAAGACAAGTATTTACAGTTCACAGAGTAACCTATGGAGTTTCTTGCTCGTTCTTCTCCATAGGAATCTACACATTGGAATGAGCAAATAGCTTCACTTTTAATTTTTTTTTTGACGTTCAAAAGTGCCATTCTGGCCTAATTGAAATAAATGATTTTGTTTTTGACTTTGACACTCATCAAATAATATTTTTCCAGGTTATAATAAAATGGTACGGCGTCCGCAACGCTCCAGGCACACAAGATCTAACTCCAGACCAAGAATGGTCAATGTTCTCCAACCTTCTCCTCTCTCTAATCGGATATGACGTAGAAAAACTACAAACTAAACAAACTGATGACGTAGACCATGCAGAGGTCGCCACTAAGAAGCAGAGGACCTCAAGCGATGGGTCCTCAGACGACTGGGAGTACTTACTGAACTCAAAAATGCATAAAGCTATAGGCCAATCTTTATCCATGTTAAAACTCCCCGTACCAAATTCAGATACTCACAGAAAAAACAAACGATCAAGTACTGAACCGGAAAAAACCGTCCAAATTAATACAAACTCTATGCTATTCCCATATATATTACAAGTACTATATTCGCTACATTTAGTTTATGAAGAATTTAAACTGAACACTCTCCTATGGAACAACTTGCGACCATTGTCTTCGTTTTTATACCAACTGTCAAAGGATTTGAAATTGGACGCCTATGTGAACCATTATTGGTTGGATTTCCCAACGGATTTGAACTTGGAATACGATGATGAGTCCCAGATTTGTGAGGGCAATTGGAACAAGTTGTGTGAACCTGTATACTTTAGCCGGGACCCTCCTAATGTGTATTTGTATTTGAACTCTATGCTGAAGGATTTGGATGTGGGATCATACCCGTATTTGGCTGAAGTTAATGATATGTCCCGGGATATTATTGAGGTACGTATTATTTTTTCGTTTGCTTTTTAAAAGTTTCTGCTGTTCTACATTTCACTTGGAACACACATATTCTTTATGTGATCCTCAATTAATAATGGTGAATGTTAAAGTACACAATCATCACACAGTATAAAACAATGTCGCTATCCGCCGTCTGTCTGTCCCTATGTATGATTAGGTCTATAAAACTACACAAATGATTTTGATGCGGTTTTTTTAGTAGATAGAGTGATTCTTAAGGAAGGTTTATACGTATAATACATACATATTGCACCGGTGCGAAGCAGATGCGGGTCGCTAATTTGTTCATAAAAGAAATTACGGAATAATTGAGGTCGCTAGTACCGTACCTGGTACGCTACGAATCAATGGGTTTTGATATTTGTTATTTTCATCGAGTTTAAAACGAGGTGGTACTATATTCAGATTATTGTTTATTCATGGGATTCGAGTTGAATAATTCAGTCTTAATCAATATCAATCTGGAATTAGTGACAGTCAATCAAACTCTTTTTTTTTCAAGCTGTACTTAATCATATTTTTGTCTATAAACCTTTCAGATCTTGTCAACAGTGGGTTGTGGCCGTAGTGCCGGTATCCAGACTATATCGAGCAGAGACACGGTGGCGGCCAGCAGCACGCCGCGAGCTCGCCGCGACACTAACAACTACAGCTCGCCATACTGCCAGGCGGTCATCATGGCCTGTGATAAAGGTACTTACAGTTATGTATAAAACATAAATATTGGTTTAGTACATAGACTGCTTCATTGGCCGAGTGGTCGCAAGTGCGACTGCCGGGCAAGGGGTCTCGGGTTCGATTCCCGGGTCGGGCAAATTATTTCTGGGTTTCAAAAAAAATCTCAGTATCTGAAATTGTGCCCGGTATATAACCATATATGGTGAGCCTATAACCATAGGCTCACCCCCTATTACATGGGACTCATAACATAAATAGTGAAAGCAGGGAGTTACATTGTACAGTGGAATAATGTACACCTCTGCCTACCCCTTCGGGGATAAAAGGCGTGACATTATGTATATTATACAAAGATCTATCCTCCCCCTTCATTTTCCCTTCACAATTTTTATCTCCAAAATCCCCAAATGTCGGCAACGCACTTGTAACTCCTGTAGCGGGTGTCAATAGGCGGCGACGATTGCTTAGCATACAGGTGATTCGTTGCCATAAAAACTTTTCTATAATAAATTGTATATAATTATGACGATAGCATGAAAAATTAATTCCATAGAAGGAATCCAAAAATCGCCATAAAATAACCTTTAATATATTTTAATTAACTGTTGAAATATCGTACCGTAAATTTGTTCATACAAAAGTAGTCTCTAAACATTGGAAATAAGGTCTTTAATGGAGTTAGTGGAGAATGGGTGACTGCTTGAGGATTGAGCTGTTAACATAATAATTATGCATTTGCAACAAAATCAACAATGCCCTCTAATGACTCTTAATACCTCTTCTTCCAGGTATAACCCTCAGAGACGTGGACAACCTCCCACCAGCGCTAGGCCTCCTCCTCCTGACAATATTCAGTCGCTGCAAGAGTTCCCCTCCAGCAGACTGGCCGCCAGAAGCATATAACTTGGTGATGAGGGAAGATCTGGCCCATCAGGCAGAGGTCGCGCATACTATGAAGACTGCGTCCGATTATATGGAGTGTAAGTTTTAATCGAAATTGTTTTTTTGTTTTGTTTAAGCCGGTAAACGAATCACTTGATGGTAAGCAATGGTCGTCGCTCATGGACACCTGGAACACCAGAGGCGTTACAAGTGCGTTACCGGCCGTTTTGAGGATTTGAAGTTTGAGGATTCGGGGATTGGGGAGATTGGGGAAGAGGGGGAATGTTACTGGGCCTCCGTTAACATCACTTACACGATGAAGCACAACGCAAGCGTTGCTTCACGTCGGTTTTCTGTGAGGCCGTGGTATCACTCCGGTCGAGCCGACCCATTCGTGCCGAAGCATAGCTCTCCCATACTTGCATGTGGTGTGCATTTAAATGCACTGATTGATTTCTTGATACTAAAGTGACACCATATGTTAAGCATTTGAAATTTTGAGCAGCGCTTAGACTGCCTAAGATTACGAATGCTTAGTAAATTCACATTTGTCTGCATAACTTCTTGATCTAAAGTTATATTTAGATAAAGTAAAACGTAACGTTCAGTGTATTCTTCTTACGTATTCTTCGTAACGTATTTATTACTTTAATGCTACTTGTATAATATGCCTAGCAACAGAAATAGCATTGCGCAAAAATGCGTTAATTTAACACTGACTGATGTTTAGTGCGCAAACACATTTCACCTTCACTACCAGTTTGCGCAACAAACAAAATGTTTAGCGCAAGTACTAACCAACACTCCCTAAATACTAAAATGTATGTTTATTTATCTCCCCAGTCATAGCACTAGAAGTACTAGAGAAGGACACAGTGTACACGTTGGCTAAGAAACCCGTGGAACCGGCGCGGAGTAACCCTGAAGATGCTGACGTCATCACCGGCATGGAACATCTTAACACACAACTACTTCATCTGCTGTACCCACGGGATCATAGGTGAGATGAGGACGTTATAAGTGTATAATTATACTCGGAATTTTAAACTGTCAAATACCAAGCGGTCACCGGTGACCGCAACCTATTGTTCTATAATTGTGTCTACAAAACCGGTACTCGACGAGTTAATTCGATTCCAGATTTGACAATTTCAATGTTGCAATGTTATGACAAGTACTAAATAGTGACGTTGCGAAATTATTCGATATGGAAATGCAATATTTCTGGATCGATTCTTCTCGTTTATAATTTTACTCTCGTAAACTAAGTATATCAGGAAATTAAATATTTCTGAACCGATAATTTAGTTTTGACGATTAATTAACTATCTGAGACCTTTCTTTTATAATTGTGTGTGAAATAAATAAAAAAAATGTAATCATGAAGGAACATGACAAATAAAGCAGATAGATGTATTATGGTAATAAGTTATTTTATAAATTGTCGCCGTCATCGCTGTCGCTATCCTGTCACTTTCTGTAACATTTATTATAAAACACACACACTGATTGTTTATCGATATTTGTGTTCATCACTACACTACACTACACTATTATATGTGGTATCATTATTTCACAAAATGACAGTAGCTATTGTCAAATCTGGAATCTAATAAAAATTCTGACTATAGTGCTTAAAATGTTATCACAATTTCTTCTTACTCGATTCCCTCACTGCTGAGGATCGTGACTCCCTCTGATTTTGCTTACTAGATGTTACCACTTATCTCGTTGCGCTGCTTGATGCATTGCAACTGTCATGGGTATCTGGATATATCCAGCTCCTTGGATATTTAGTCAGACCACCGTATGGGAGTCCGGCCTCTCGGTCTCTTTTCTTCTACTTAACCGGTCATGAGGCGATCCAGCTAACTAGAATCTTTTCAAGATATGGCTAATACCAATGTATCGCATGATCCTTTTCAAGGAGACTGTGGACAAGTGCAATTGTCGATTAGGTCTTTCAGAATAAAAATGTTCGTACGGCAAGCTGTCCACGGTATCCTCAGTATCCTGCACCCTCACCTGCATTATAACCTTTTAAGCAAGGCCTTTTATTTAAATCCTCCGCTAACGTGGCCCTTATGTTATTTCCCATTGCGGTTAACAGGACTCAATCTAATGACCATACGTGTATCACGTAATGACGTAATTTGATGAACCGAAAAGACTTCAAATTAAACTTAACTTCCACTTTTATTTATTTTAATACGGTAAACTTTGTAAATTTGATAATTTAGAGTCATAAGGAAATGTATCGAAATGCGATACATTTCCTATTGACTCTAAATGATGTTCCGGATAAAGCGATGCATTAATTGTTTCTAACTATTCTATTCCAGGATGTCAGAAGTAATAAACCTCCTCCAGTCATCGATTCCAGTGAATATAAACCTGACGCAGCGACCTGAAGTATCAGACCATGACTTCATAGAGGAACAGGAGAAGTATCTGTTTGCAGTCAGCACCAGGACCATGGCATTGCCTATAGCTAGGTAAGGGGTGTTTACAATATTGTATTTACTTGATTTAGATAGCATTTGATCATCAATCAATCATCAATCAGGATGGAAGACTTTTATGGGTGCCCTCTGATGGTGACCTAATTAGGGAACATAGGACATTAAGTTATGTAAATAAGTAATTTGATGAACGGAGATCATTTTGGCTTCATACATTTTTGAGTTGGCCGGACGGTCATTGGCCCGGCACTTTCAGGTAAAGCCCAAAGAAAATTCGCATTATTTCAGTTCTATAGTTGATGTAGTTGACCTTTTTTTAAAACAATCTCAGAGTTTGGCAAAGTATTATGCTTTTTAAAATAGGATTTTAACCGTAGAAATTCGGAATTCGGAAGTTTGAAAGAAAGAAAAACATTTATTCAGCACCAGGCACGATGTAGCATAATTAAAATGTAAAAAAGACAATAAACGTCTGACAGTGGAAGTAATAAAAATATTGAGTTGAAAAATTAAAACAGAAGAATTAGAAGAGAGACGCTGACAATATGCCTATGCTAAAAGGGTCACCCACTCAGTGTAAGCCAGGCATACAAGTCACCCAGCACTGATATTCAGTGGGCACGTTAGCACATGTTTCGTCCTAGTAGCTCAGAATGACCGTATCAATTTTTTTTTCTTTTTTTTTTTTTAATAAAACTTTGCCCCACACTAGGATTTTCTCCTGTGTCCTGGGTGCGTTTACAAACATACAATATCACATATACATCACACCCAGACCCGAAACAACAATTTGTGGATCACACAAAGTGTTGTCCCGTGCGGGAATCGAACCCGCGACACTTTGCATGGCAGCCGGTTGCCCAGCCACTGCACCAACCGTGCAGTCTTTTTTGATTGATTGTTAGTTAGATAGTAGCACGTGTCCCCAGAGGCATGGCGAGCCTGCGCTGCGTGCCGTGCCCGGCCACGGAGGCGGTGGAGCTGCCCCGCGTGTGCGCGTGGGGCCGCTGGCGCGGGCGCGGCGCGGGCGCGGACGGCGCGCCGCCCGCCTGGCCCGCCTTCCACAACGGCGCCGCCGCCGCGCTGGCGCTAGTGCCGCTCTCCGGCTTCACCATAGACTCCGAGTGGGTCATCTACAACAAGCCACGGGTTAGTATAACCTGCGCAAACTTTTATATTGTTGACACACGGGTTCGGGTTGTAAATAAGAGATAACGACAAAGTTCCATTTAATATTATACTCCAAATACTTAGGCTAATTACAATGTATGCGACCCACTCGCAACCCGACAAGTCCGTGACTGCCCTACGTTGCATAAATGCAACTTTACAAAACCTATGCGGTGGGTGCATTGTCGTCGCTACAATAGTTTCTTTTATTGCTAACAATAAGTTTACTTTTTACCAATAAACGTTCAGCAATAAAGTGCAGACATAATAATATACTTGCTTGCATCAAACATCACTATATCGCCTGAAGAACTTTCTGGCAACCAGTAAATACTGCTCAGAAAATGTATTCTTCACCATAATCAAATCAGAAACATAATGATAAGTCACACAATACTTGAAACTTATGATTTATTCATTAATTTATTTAAGCAAGCCAAGAATGACCTAAAACTATTAATCATTATCCAAACAGGGTACAGCAGAGATGTCAACAGAACATGCGGGCTTCCTGATGGGCCTCGGTCTGAACGGTCACCTGCGGGACATGCCGTTCATGAACATCTACGAGTATTTAGTCAAATGCAACGAGATGATCAGTGTCGGACTGCTACTGGGGCTGGCTGCTACTTACAGAGGTAATTTAGAAGTATTTCTTTTCTTTACCACAATCCGACAGAAAATAAGAGTTTTGAAAAAAGAACTTGATTTTTTTAGTCTTTCCATTTTTGCGCACAGTAGATGGCGCCACGCCATTTTAGACCCTGTTCGTTTAATCAATGTAGTTGGCCAAAGACTTGGTAATCAAAGGCTTCCTTTAGGGTTTTAAAAACAAATTCTAACATTTTTACCGTCTGTTTAAACAAACATAATTTATTGCAATTTTACTAACTTGTTTCTAACTCACAGTAACTTTATAAACTATATAAACTTGTCACTCCTTCTAGGCACGATGGACGTCCAAGCAACGAAGATGATGAGCATCCACCTGGAGCCCCTGCTCCCCCCTACCTCGATAGAGCTGGACATCCAGCAGAACATACTGGTCGCAGCACTACTGGGGGTGGGGCTCATATACCAGGGCACTGCGCATACACATTATGCACAAGTATTGCTCAATGAGATTGGTGAGTTACTTTTCTTTTCTTTTTTTTATTAAATTTCTCCTGTGTCGTGGGTGCGTTTACAAACATACAAGTTCATATACACAATGACACCCAGACCCGGAACAACAATTTGTGGATCACACAAAGTGTTGTTCCGTGCGGGAATCGAACCCGCGACACGTTGCACGGCAGCCGGTTGCCCAGCCACCGCACCAACCGTGCAGTCAATCAAGTGCAAGTTACTGGGAACTAGAAGTCTGTACTGACGTCAGAATAGAATCATAGAGCTGCATTCATTTTGATATAGTATATTATAATGTGAAATAAGTGTTAATGAAGCTTATTTCCAGCAATAAAATTCATTTCGTTTGATGAGTGATTATTTTCAAGGAGAAAGAGGTTTAGATTTAAAAATGAGAAAAAAATATTGAGGATTTCGCATTTTTGAAAATTTGTAGTAATAAGAAATGTACCTGGTATATTGCAATAAGTCCACCATCTGTTACATAGGACTGCATAGTTATGGTGCACTATTGAAATTTGTTAAGATTTTCTTTATTTTTGACATTTTCTTAAACTTTGCACTCTTCGTAGGCGAAATATGCGGCACTTCATGTTACAACTTATTGATGTAATATGTGGCTAAGTTCACAAATAAGCTTTAAGTTGAAAGACTTGCACAATATGATATTATGGCAGGTCGTCCGCCGGGCCCCGAGGCGGAGGCGTGCGTGGAGCGCGAGGGGTACGCGCTGGCGGCGGGGCTGGCGCTGGGCCTGGTGCTGGCCGGCGCCGCGCGCGCCGCGCCGCCCGCCGCCACCCGCCTCGCGCGCCGTCTGCGGACCTACATGCTGGGGGGAGATAAACTGCCGCTAACCGGTATGTTTCACTTGCCGTTTTTTTCTTCTCCTCTTATAATATCTTCTGATTCACTTCGTTGTGGGAACCAAGACAGTTTCGTCTGGTGTAGCTTATTATACGGACCTTGTGGAATCTAGAACAAATTTCCGTAAGCGTTTTTGCCATACCTATTACTGGAAGCAAGTATAACAGCTCACACATAGGGCCCACTTAGTTTTTAGTCAAATTTCCGTGGTGCTTAGCGACTGGGCTTCATCTAGTTGTACAGTCTCTTCTTTCTGCCTTTAGGCTTAATTCATTCTGTCTCCTGCAGTGATTCACCGAGGGAAGTGGAAACTATAGTTCTTTCTTCTTCTCCTCCTATAATATCTTCTGATGCAGTTCTTTGCGGGACCCAAGACAGTTAATCATGTCCCTGGGACGCACCGGACTTCAGTGTTCCAGTGCTTGCATGGTTGCATCTACTGTACATCCTGGCTTACAGGAGTTGCAGCGGTTTTGGGAGGTTGTGGCGGCCTGGTCCCATTAAAAATAATGCTATGTTATAATCGCTTTAAGGATTATTTATTAAAAGGGATTTCTTAGTAATCATCAACAATAAATGACCATCCACTGGTGACATATGGAACTTCACAACAGTATATCTTGTTGATTCTTAAGGCAAGTAAATTAGAGATGATAGTTTAAAAAGGTTGAGTTTATCAAGGAGTACTGCTCGATCACTATTAAATGTGTAAACTTAGTAATAGATACAATCAAATATATTTTTTTAAGAATGTATAAGAAAGTTACATGTATTTATTTCGTCACTTAATTTTTTTTTAATGGCTACGTTTCGTGCTGTTTGTACGTTGTTATAATGAGCCTCTATCGATAAATACAAAGGATACATTAAATCAAAAAAAGCGTTGCACCAAATAAACTCCCTTGTTCCATAAGTTATTTGAACACTTCTTATTTATTTATAATTTCATGTACCTACACCACACAAACAATATTACAAAGGATGACACATTACAAGCATAAGGTACATAGGTACTGCATATCCCTTAAGGGATTTCTTCCTGCAGACCTGGGACAGGAAAAGGAAATTAAATATAAGACACAGTGTAAATGATACATGCAACAGATACAAAACAAAATAGAATAACTGAAAGAACTTAAAACTAAAATGACCGGAATATAATAAAATTATAACAAAAATAATAAATAAAATAATTAGAAATATATAAATACGATTACAAATAAATTCTTCATTTATTGAAAAAATTAAAAAACCATTAATATCCTCGAAAAAATATTATACTTAACCAGGTACACAAAAAGATAAATACAAGCAAGGTTCCTTCGCTGTCCGGGAAGGTGCGACAGTGAACCTGGACGTGACATCTCCCGGCGCGACTCTTGCCCTGGGTCTGCTATACCTGCGTACTGGCTGCCCGGCGCGGGCCGCCTGGTTACAACCACCTCGCACTGCTTACCAACTTGACTTCGTTCGACCTGATCTGCTGATGTTGAGGGTTATTGCTAGAGGTAAGTATTTTGTTGTTTTGTTTTTATCCGACTTCAAAAAAAAGGAAGTTCTCAGTTCGGCTTGGTTGTATGTTTATACGCGATTCTGTCGCGATTCGCTGAACGGGGTTTGATGCGGTTTTCATAAAACATAACATAACATAACATCACGCCTTTTATCCCCAACATAACATCACTTTTCACTATTTCTGTTATGAGTCCCATGTAATAGGGGGTGAGCCTATTGCCATATACCGGGCACATTTCCAGACTCTGTGCTACTACTGAGAATTTTTCAAAACCCAGTAATTGTTTGCCCGACCTGGGAATCGAACCCGAGACCCTTTGCCCAGTAGTCACACTTGCGACCACTCGGCCAACGAGGCAGGCAGCAGGTTTTCATTAAAGTGTTTGTTATACTGAGGAAAAGGTTTTTGTATATTAATTAACCGACTTCAAAAGAAGAGGGCTATGAAATCAGATTTTTTTAATGTAATTTATAATTCTTTTTTCGCGTGAACCAACGCTTGCTTGGTCATGTTACCGATGGCCCAACTACCCCTCTTCCGAATTCCGTAATCCTATTTCTCAAATGCCTAACTCTCAAAAGGCTGGCAACGCACTTGTGTTTTGTGGCTTGTTCAGAATCCAAAGGGACAGCCCTTTGTCACTTGTCCATGCGACGCCTATTGCTTACCATCAGGTGATCTGTCTGCTCGTTTACCGGGTTATCTGATGAAAAGGTAAGTGCTACTATCACAGAATGAAATAATAAAAGCAAATATGGGTACTTGAAACAAAAACTATCGTGATTTAGGGCCAATTTTTCTGTGCTCCGATAAATTTTAACTGAGGAATGAGTGAATATTTCACAATTCTTTCATACTAACAACTGTCAACTGTCAATTTTATTCTACTTGATTGAAAAATAGGCGCTCAATATTGTAAATGAACGATTTTTTAACTTGTTGTTTTTCAACAATGTTTTATTTCCTAGGTTTGGTATTATGGGACAGTATAGAACCTACTGAGGAGTGGGTGGAGAGCCAAGTACCTGACACTATCAAACCGTACTGCTTCGTCAAACCCACTGAGGATAACATCGACTATGAAGCTATGAAGTAAGTGTAAAATATGTGTTATAATAAAACAAATTAAATTTTTTTTTCCCGTTACGCACTAGCGGTCAACCGCGCAGCTACCCGCTCCATGCCGTTGACAGCTTTTCCAATTTAATATGCAACCGCGTCTATCGATACGAACAGCCTAGGCGGTCAACCGCTGCTGATTCGGAGTCGCGGAGAACCTAACGGGTAACCGGGGCTCCGGCTCGACGTGCAGGAGAAGGAACGGGGTGGTCACTCCCTCGCACCTCACCCAGGCGGGAGCAGTCATTCGATGATTTCCCCCCCTTAAAAAAAAGGCGGTGAACCGCTAGTGCCTAAGGGGGCTAAAATGTCTCTTTTGATTCCAGCCAAGCATACTGCAACATAATAGCGGGCGCGTGCTTCGCGCTGGGGCTCCGGTTCGCGGGGTCGGGCGACGAGGACGCGCGCGACACCGCGCTGCACTACGCGCGCCTGTTCATTGCGCTCGGGGGGAAGACCATCGCCGAGCTGGCTGGCAGGTCCACGCTGGAGGCGTGTCTCTGTGTCTGTTTGTTGGCCGCTGGGATGGTGAGTAATGTTTTGTTGCGTAATACAAACAAACATCATTTTGTATATGTTGCGAAAATACCATTTTCGTTTTGTTAACATTATCAAACTTTCACGGCATGTATTTCTCAAGGTTTCTACTGACTCTGATATTAGCAAAGTTAGCATTCAATTGTTTTCATCCCATTACCTTATTTTTGCATTTCTTTATAAATCTGAAAGCTATTTGTGTTATAGCCATTAATTCCAACTCAATTATTCGAAACCGTATGTAAGGCGCTGGCGAATTGTATAATCCGCCGTATTACATTACGGCTAGCCGTTTAGAAAAGCTGGGCCGTTTTGGGACCTGTCGACTGCACGCTGCACGATTAGTCGTATTGTCAATGCGAAACGTTGTACAACACACACGTTTAGCCTTATTGTAATTCCGATTCGGAGTCGCGGAGAACCTAACGGGTAACCGGGGCTCCGGCTCGACGTGCAGGAGAAGGAACGGGGTGGTTTTTAGTCAGTAAGAGTCTGACACTCCCTCCCGCCTCACCCAGGCGGGAGCAGTCATTCGATGATTTTCCTCCCTTAAAAAAAAGCCTCATTGTAATTATTTTACGATGGTCATGGTCATAGCGACTTTATAAAGTTATCAACATAGTCGTCATGAGTGTCGTTTTCATGGTTTATGAGGGTGCTGTCAAAATGTAAATCGAAGATGGCAACTGCACAAAATTTTCAATTTAACGTTACGTGTGTCGTTTTGAAGAAACAAAGGAGAAAGAAAAACATTTATTCAGCACCAGGCACGATGCAGCATAAATAGAATATAAAAAAGACAATAAAGACAGTGGAAGTAATAAAACATTGAGTTGAAAAATTAAAACAGAAGAATTAGAAGAGAGACGCTGACAACATGCCTATGCTAAAAGGGTCACCCACTCAGTGTAAGCCAGGTATACAAGTCACCCAGCACTGATATTCAGTGGGCACCCATGCAGTGACACACGGATGGTAGCAACGTTGTATGGTTAGACAAATAATAATTATGTAGATATAACAATGGAATACGTATCAATAGAATAAATACAAAAAATAATCTATATAAATAAAAATGAATTTCTGTTCGTTAGTCTCGCTAAAACTCGAGAACGGCTGAACTGATGTGGCTAATTTTGGTCATGATAGGTTCGTGGAAGTCTAGGGAAGGTTTAAAAGGTGAGATAAAACTTTTAGGCAGTACGAAGTTTGCCGGGTCAGCTAGCATAAAATAAAAAATTAAAAAAGGAAAATTTTAATAAATAATACACATGACAGAATGTAGGACATAGGACAGCCAGTATAATTATCTGTGTTCTGCATCATTTATATACTAAATTGGCTTGAGTTAAATGATAGATAGATCAATATTAATTGTAGCCTTGTCTTTTTGCGAAGTTAAAATGAAATTTTTGAGTTTATATTTAAAGCTATTAATACTTGGTGAGTCTCTGATAGGTGGAGGTATATTGTTCCAACATTTGGACGCTGCGTACCGAAAACTGCCTCGAATTGCTGCTGTTTTACGTTGAGGTATAGCTAGATGCTGTGCACACTGCCTAGCCCGCTTTCGGTGAGCACCAACTCAGGATAATTTTGAGTGCAAGTACGAGGTACACTTATTTTTGATTACGCCAAAAAGAAGACAAGCTAGGTGGAGCTTACGACGTGACTTCATTTCTTGGAGGTTGTGTTTGTTAAGGTAAGGTGTAACGTGTCCCCTCGGTGGTATATAAAAACGGGCACATGCGTTTTGAACCCGTTGAATCAGCCTCTTTGTTCGTGATAAGAGTTTTGGGCCAATTACTGTATCCGCGTAATTTAATTTTGACAAAACCAAAGCTTCTGCTAGCTGCACTCGTAAATCCTCGCTGAGATATGCACGCATTCTGTACAGAACTTTCAAGCGGTCAAAAAAATTTTCACACAATTTGAAACATGGGTTTCAATCCTGAGGGCTTGATCCATAATAAGACCCAGGTTCCTAGCCTTATATACACGTTCAATAACTTGTCCACCCACTAATACGTTATAATTACTAGGAACCTTGTTCAACTGACCGTTTGTTCCAAAAAGCATATTTTAGTTTTGGATGGATTCAAAATGAGGCAGTTACGACTACACCATTCCACTATACTATTTAGATCCTCGTTTATAGCCGTCACTGCAGCCAAGTAATCGCGCGGCTTAAAAAAGAAATATATTTGAAGATCATCAGCATAGATATGGAATTTGCAATGTTTTATGACCTTAACAATATCGGTACAGTACAAAATAAATAGAGTTGGCCCCAATATTGATCCCTGCGGAAAGCCCCTTTTTTTAAAGGGGGAAAATCATCGAATGACTGCTGCCGCCTAGGTGAGGCGGGAGGGAGTGTCGGACTCTTACTGACTAAAAACCACCCCGTTCCTTCTCTTTGAATCGCGAGTCTCAACTAATTGAGTACGGTTTTTAAGATAACTTTTCATGTTTTTCGATGATGGTAAAACTGATGGTGCTTCACCATCAGTTTTACGAAAAGTTGAAAGTTCCGTTCAGCCGCCATCTTGGATTTATATTTTGACAGTAGCATCGGTGTTACCTCCCTAAAAAACCACGAAAATGATACCCATGACGAAAAAAGTTAATAAAATTGTGCAACCGCCATGTTGGATTTCAATTTGACAGCACTATAAATTTTATTACCCTTGAAAACCACGAGGACAACACCCAATAAGAAAACAATATTATTACGTAAAGCAGCGCCGTGCGTGTTCAATTTTGTAACTGTATATTGGGCATTACTGTCAGAGTGGTCATTATGCCCAATATACATTTGAATAACGCATAGCTCCGAAAACTATCTGGCTGATTTTGACGCAGCCGTATTCAATTCGGCTAATTGTTCAGCCGTTGTATTACAAAACGTTGTTTGCAAAACGGCTAGCCGTAATGTAATACGGCGGATTACACAATTCGCCTGCGACAATTATAAAATTAAGTATAAGTTTAAGTTTTACTTACAGTCTCTATATGGTTAGGGATTTGTCCCTTTCCATACAGTAGGTATTATATTTTTGGCCTTGGGTTGTTTGAGATTCTGTAAGATATTCTACGTGTGGTAGATGTAGTGGATAGTTTTGCTAAAGCCTTTTACTGGTGCGCAGATAATGTGCGGGCGCGGCGACATAGAGACACTGCGCGTGTGTCGCCGCCTGCGGGCGCGCACCCCGCCGCACGCCGCGCACACACACGCGCCGCTCACTCACGGGGGACAGGTACGTACGTCACATCATGTTATACATAGACACGTGTGTGTAGCCGTGTCAGTGGAGTTACCACCTCTCCATCCCTGATCGCCAAATTACAAAAGGCTAGCAACGGACTTTTAACTCGTCACCATAATCAGCACTGCAAATCAATCAGACAAATTAGGCATCCATCAACCTCATACAACACAATTGTTTCACACCATTTTTCTGTGAGGCAATAACACTCAGTTTCCTTGTTGAGCCCGCTATTCGTGTCCACTGTCAAAACATGGTTCTCCCACGTAATTAAAGGTATTCCATGATTATACTGTACGTTTAGTTTTACTCAGAATAACTGTATACAATTTGTATGACTCCAGATGGCAGTGCACAGTACAATAGGGCTCCTGTTCCTGGGCGGGGGTAGAGCGACGCTGAGTACTACACCCACTGCAGTAGCCGCGCTACTCGCTGCATTCTTCCCCAAGTTCCCCACACACAGCGAAGATAATAGGTAAGATGTAATTTGTTTTTATAATAACTATCGTGAGACATACTAAATTAACTAAAAATCGCGGCTTACTCACGTGAATATACCTCGGAACAATAACTAAAGCATGGAAGCCAGGCTAAAATAACAACTACACTCCATATATTCATCTTTTTTTTACTTATGGTATTGATAGTGTATAAGAAAGAGATATGTGTATTGTTTCGTTTCGTTATTATGCAGGTTGTCACTACTTGTAAATATGCTAGTGATGGGAATAAATTAATATATTTTATCGATAAATTATGGTACCTGAAAGTTTTGCTGCTGTGGTCTAACGTACATTAGGTTCTTAATCTGGATGTCGTGGGTTCAAAAATAAAACACAATATTAAAAAGATAATTTAATTGCTCACAAACAAAGCATATTTACAAACCGTGGTAGTGGTGCACTATTATGTGTTTATCATTGACTTTTAAATATAATTGTCTTTGTTAAAATGTATCCTAAGTTTAAAATATTTTTGTGCTATGGACTTTATAAGATTTCTGTGATCAAC